AACCTAGTTCAATCTGTAAGATGCCCAAAAAATCACTCAAAAAGCCACGGCTGTGACAGAGCATTTTTCACTTAGGCTTTTCACTTAGGCATTTCATCAAACAATAAATGTGCAAACATAAATTCTACTTTAGCTATAACTCTTCTTCTTTCTTTAACCATCCAAAATGGGAGTAAAGCTCCCTTGTATCATCACAAAACCTGTCAAGGAAAAACACTCCCAAAAGGTAACTCAAACTTCTTTCAACTTCAATCAAACTTCAACCCATCATCATACAATCAAAAGCACTTCTCATAATTCAAATATATCCAACAACAAGCATAATTCATCATCAATCTCATCTCAATTTCTCAATAATCATAACACATACATAATTAAAAGAAATCTCTACTCACTTGATTTTCTTAAATCTTAACTTGGTTGGATTTACTTACCTTGAATTTGAGCAACTCCAACACTATAATCTCTCTTTGATAGAATTCCCTTTCCTCTTAAACCCTAAGCATATAAAACCATAAGAATTCAAAACTTTAAAATTTAATCTCACATCTTGATGCAAGAATCTTACCTTTGGATGCTTAGGATTGAAAATCCACTCAAAAATACCCAAAATCTATGAATTTCCTTGGAAATCTAGTGAAGAAATTTGAGAGAATTTGAGTAGAGAATGGCATGAATGGAGGGATAGAGTGGCTAGGGTTTCTACTCTTGAACTCTTATTACATAATAATATATATATTAGTTTCCCATTTTGCCCTTGCTCTTTCTTGGAAATTCCATCTATGTCCCTTAGTCAATTACAATAATGCCCTCATTTTTATTACATTCTCCATGAAATTCTATCTCTTTTCACTCCCCAATTTTTCAACTAATTTTGAGTGAAAAGACCATTTTACCCCTAATGAAAGTTTAAGGGATTTTCTTCACATTTTTCTCAAAATAACTTTAACAGAATTCAACTAAGGGCCAACCAACCAAAAATAACAACATGCAAGCTCAAATGAGAACAAATCAATAAACATTCAAGCAATGCAACAATAATTTAACTACATACCTCAAGTGGGGGGTTTACATAGGTAAGTGAGTGGTTTGGAGAGGGGGCTGAGGGGACGAAGATGGTGGTGTTGGGAAAGGTCAATGACAGCAGATACATGCCGAAAATGGCTATCACATGCGATGAAGAATGAAAATGAGTTGCAAAAATTAGCAAAAATCATAGAAATTGGAGGTTATCAAGGCTGGGAAAACATTTGGGAAATGATTAAGTGATGAATCCGGTTGATTTTGGTGAGAAATTGACCGGAATCATCACTTTAACGTCGACAGCGGCACTATGGTGGTGTAGAGGGGTGGAGATGCAATGTTTTCATCATTTTAGGGACTGAATGAGTGTTTTAAAATTTTAGACATTTAAATAACTATTTTAGTTAATTTAGGGGTGTGAATGGAAAGTATGAAACATGGTTTTTTTGTAAATTTATGTAAAAAAATTATAATGAATTTGGGCCTTTTCAGTTTTTTGGGGCCCTTTGGATTGGTTTGGATAAAAAATTATAAACTTTTTTGGGCCCAGTGGTATTTTTGTAAATCTATTTAAAAAATCTTAAAATAATTTTAGGCCATTTTTGGGGCTTTTTTTTGGGGCCCACCTGCCTAGCCCTTGGGCCGGCCCTGCATTTAGCTAAGCACCTACTCCATTCACATTGACTTTTTCAATAGTATGTATTTCATTAACACCAACACTTTCTTGTTTCTTTGGTAATTAAGGTTACTTATTCCATAGGGTTTATTAGAATGGTCTCTCCTACTCCTGGACGTGGATATAAAAAGATGGGAAATCTATTAGCAGTATGACTTCTTTAGCTTTTAGTACAGTTTGTGTCGGTGGTGTTAATCAACAAGATGATACTGCTTTCTGCGCTGTTAATGCTATATATGCTCTCAGTTGCACACATTAATATTTGGAATATTTCACATGAATTCCAATTCATAATCTTACGAGATTAAAAAAAAAAAAAAAAAAAAAAATCGAAGGTGAATTTGAGCCAGAAGTGAAAGCAGATGTCGATATGTTTACGGAAAAATGGTAGTTAAGTATTGTGTTTCACAGGCAAAGCATACTAAAGTGTAAACAATTAACATGATATTTGATGAGAAATCCCCCTTACCACACCTTAGAATTCCTCTTACATTGACATTGGGGAAGCTCTCGGCACCTAAGATTAAGTTCTCCAAGTTCTTGGGGTCCCCCCTCTGCTTAAAAAGCATCAGAAAAGGGGGAACTATCTCATGACTGTCCATATCATTCTAGGAACTGAATGAATATAAATTGGAACATAAATATTTCTGATAAGAAACAGCCAATCTGAAATTGAGTGATGCTTTTAGCTCAAGAAAGAGGCACTGGGTAGAAAGCTCATATTATTCCCATAAATATTTACCATAAAAAGAGAGAAACATACACGCATACAAATAACACACTTCATCTCAGCTTGAAATTGCTTATCCTAACCATATGGTATTAGTCCTACTTGGTCAAATATATGAAGATCCATTTCTGTCAATGATAGGCCAACAGGACATTTTCGCCAACAGCAATCTGTGCCCAGTCTTCACTAAGCTGGCAACAGTTAACTTATCCATCTCAAATATTCAGTCAATTATCCTCCAAAAGAATTCATATTTTAGACCATAAAAGACGTCTCTTGATTTGTAGAGTGGCACAATATCACGCTGTAATATTCAGATGTCCTTTTCGTTTGGTAGGTAAAACAAGAGAATGAACTCACAACAACAAGGTCATATGCTACATTCAAAGAAGCATTCTTGAGCTCCTTTCATGCTTTTATCCCATAATTCTTTGTGAAACTCGTAAATTCCTTAATCTGTTATAAGGGAATTTAGCGTATTTAAGCAAACATAAAACGTAACTCTGTTTAGTTTATTTTCATCAAATAAAAAGTCAGCAACTTCTTCCTCATTTTATGTGGATCAAGTGACACAAAAGGGTCCTACACTCTCCTGCTGCATTCTGCAGAAGAACCTAGTTCTTCAATCATATTTGCACCAAATTCTTCCTTTCGGAAGAAAATATGATGCGAGGACCCGATCCACCAACTATCTGAAATGTTGGCAAACAGGGCCATAGTAGTGACCAACACCACCTTTTCCTGATCATCATAGCTTTTTCCCTTTGAAGTCATCTTCTAAACATTAAACAAGGTTCTCTGACATGGGCAAAATCATTCACAGAAGTTTTCCTCCTGATATCTCCGTGCTGCTTGTCCAAGTCCAACTAATATTTCTGTTTACGTTTGACACTACCAGCACTAATATATCAAGATTTTTTTGAGACTGAAGGGCATAATATCACTTGTAATTTGATTAAAACGGTAAAGAACAATGTAACAAGTGTTATATTAATTATTTTTCATCCTATTAAAAAGACTAGTGAAAATCGGTGCAAGATAGTGTGTAAGTTCTAATCATCCAAAAACAAAAGATCTTCCCAGGAGGACAATGAATACCATTACCCAACGGCTCAAGATTTTCTATGAATGGTGGATGTGTTTTTTTTTTTCTTTTTTCTAGGTACCTTTATAAATAATAGATCATAGTATACTGTATACACTTTTGATATTTGTTTTTCATTTTCAAACAATTGGGCTGGGCAGTGGACTTTTTGTGGGCTTGGGTATAACTCTCCTTAAAAAACCGAAGAAAAGGTGTCCAAGCCCTTTATAACCTACATGCCCACCCTTTTTCATTCCAATGTGGGATCCTAACAGATTCATTAGTTAACAACAAATCATGAGATACTACTAAGAAGGTGTTTGTCTGAGTTTATGAAAATTCGCTTATAAACAACAAGTGATTATAAGTTAATTTTAGCTTATAAGCATTTGAAATTTTAAGCAATTACGTGTTTGGTTAAAATACTTATAAGTGACTCATAAGTAGTTGACGTGTTTGGTAAAGTGTGGCTTATAAGTACATTTTATTATAAAATGACTAAAAAAGATACTACATTAAACAAGGATATACTATAAAATTTTAAAATTAAACCAGAATAATGTGGTAATATACTTGATCAAACTAGCTTCTAGGCAGAGTGCTTATAAGTAAAAAAAAAAAAAAAAAAAATGTACCTCTCTTCAACCATTTCAGGGGAGTCTTTCATTAAACAATAGCGCTGCTATTAGCACACGAGACAGTGATGTCAAGCACTGTCTTATTCCGTGCACAAGACAATGTTGTCAAGCACCATTTTGAATGTTATTTAGCTCCATTATGTAAACGAGATGGTGGTCAACGTCACCTCTCTCATGCTAAACAGAGTGAGAAGGAGCTCACTTGTGAAATGGATTTTCATGAAGAAACCCCATAAAAAGTGTTGAAAAGAGGCATTATCATTACTCCGATCAAACATAATATATCTTTGCAAGACGCTACCAAAAGTGACACTGTTTCAACCAAGACCTCTAAATGGCTATTTTTTGCTAAAACCACTTTTCTAAAGGGCAACAACCTTATCAACAAGACTTAATTCACTGGGATTCATACACAGTGTGTAAAAAACAGAAACACATGCATCTAACAAGTAAAAAAACAATTAGAATCCTGTAATTTCAACCCATATTTAGATTCTCCCCAAATCTTTAGCACTTCTCTATCACTGCATGTAACATACATACAGTTCAAGAAACAACTTTTACCAACACAATTAGAAATCTCATGCTTTCCCAACTTGAATTATTCTCCCGTATTACAAAAATGTAATGAAACAAAGGAGTACCTGGTTATGTGAGCATCCAAAGGTCTTGATATATATAGTCTGCAGCAAGAGAAGATCAAAACAAACAAAAAATTCACGAAAAAAAAGAGACAGAGAGAAAGAAGAAATTACCTGGGATCCAGGGACTTTGGAAGCAAGACGGTGATCAAGTTTGGNAATATCTGCATTCTAGACACACACGCACACCCCACCAAAAAAAAAAAAAACCTTATTTTTGGCAAATTGAGAACTTTCATACATCTTAAAAAAAATAATTGAAGTATAAACAATACCATGAACATCTTGTGCCATAAGTGTCACTAAAGAGCAAAAAAAAAAAAAAAATGATTAGTTTAAATTAACTTCACAATTATTTTTAAAAGAATTCTTCGATCAGCTATCTGAAAAAATTGCAATCTCTTACTTGGATTGCATTCATTGCACTGAACTGCAGGGATCCCTACCAAAACTTGAATCTGGACAACTTCTTGCTTTTGTAGCCAGTGCTGTTCGTATAACCGAAGCACTTTTCTCGATCAAATTCTCCTCCAAACTATTATCACTATAATACTGAGAGCTCTGATCATGCAATGAGTAATCTCTCAACTCTTCACACAACCCAGAATCATCATCTCTCATAAGCAGAACATTGTGTAGAATGGAACAAGCACCAATAAAAGCAACTGCAGTCTTAAACTCCTCTTGTATTGGCCTCCTCAAAACCCCCCAATTCTTTAAACTGGCAATAGTTTTCAATGCCGGAATACGCATCATAGCATGTGCTAAGTTGAAATTCTCTTCGATTGATCCTGGTTTAGTGTCCACAAATGGTACCATTAACCATGGAAGCAAAGGGTAGCCTCCATCACCAATTAAATACTGATCTACAGCCACCCCATTAACAAAGACTGGACTTGAATTCAATAACTTTTTTTCTTCAATATCTTTATATAAAGTTGAAGACTTTAGCACTCTTGAATCACCTTTATCACCACGAATACCGGCAACAATGCTCAAGATTCTTGAAGACGAATCAACAACAAGCTGTACTGCAACACTTTCTTCACTTAATTTATCATCTTTACAAGGTTTTGATCCATTATTTTTAACAATTTTGAACCTTGTACAATCAATAACACCACAGCAATTAGGCAACCCTGTGAGTTCCTCAAAAGATTCCGATATCGAATTGACCTCTTCTCCGCTAGGAAAAGCAACCCAGAATCGAAAATTAGTGCAAAGAACACGACACAACTGTCTAACACAAAACCGAGTCACCGACTCAGCAACCCCGAATCGATTAGCGAGTTCAGCATAATCTGACCCAGTAACTAACCTAAATAGACCAATACCGAGCCGGACATCAGGGGATAGATTCAAAGGTGAACCCACCGGGTCACGGCAATCCAATAACGGCTCAAGCAATCCAGAGAGCCATCTGAAGGTAGAATATTTCATTTTGAAGGAGTTTTTGAACGAATCAGGGGATTGAGTCAAACTCAGTTGAAGAATTCCATCTTCGAGTTTGGAGAATCTATCTTCATGGGCAGGCTCAGAATCTTGTTCTGAGAAAAGGGTTCTCTTCCTTTTTCTGGAAATCGAAAGGAAAGAAACAGAAGTAGCGACCTGCTGGGAAGAAAGAAAGTGGGAAATCAAAGGAAAAAGGTTGTATTTTTCGGAAGAATTAGAGTCAGGGAAGAGAAGGAGAATAAGAAGAAAGAGTTGAGAGGTTAAAGAAGAAAGTAGAGCAGACAATTTCTGGGAATTCATAGAGGAATATGATTGGATTGAGGTGTTCTTGGGAATTGAGATGTGTCAGAGTGTTGGTGAACCTGGAAAGACAAAAGAGACAGAGGCACCTGGCAATGAGATTCTGTTGTACAAATTTATGGAAGTTTCTTTTGTAGCACGTGACTCAACCACTTAGCTTTTTTTCAATTTTTTTTTTTTTTTTTTGGGAGATTTTGATTTGGTCTATATTTGGATACAGATTCTGTACAGCTTTTGGTCGAATTTATGTGAAAGGTAAGAGTGGGCCGAGGAATTGAGTACCATTCCATCTACCGTGTTGATATAAACATCAATATACCATTTCTATTTTTGATAAACGATGTAGATTGAATGTATATAAATACAATATATTCAAATATCGAATCTCCACTACATAGATAAAAAAGGAGTAAGCGACTTTTTCTCACCCAAGGTTCATCTTAGTTACTATTTTTAATCAAAAAAGTTTTAGAATACCAATTTATTATTCAAAATATATATTTCGACCAATCGTCGGTTGATATCAACATCGTTACAACCTTATACCACTACTATTATCTTTCTCAATTATTACTTATCAAAACCTCTCAAAAGTTAGAACTGTCTTTAAAAAATTCATTATTTGCAATAGAACAATCCATGAATCAGTTTCTCAAATCTTTATATATCCAACTATGTACCTGCTTTTGTAAGAACTTAACACGTCCATATTCATTAAAGGTTTGAAGTTTGGATCAAGAATTCATTATAACTTGTAACTTATGTTAACATTTTAACGTTAAATTATGAATTGTTGTTTGACAAGAAATGTAACATTTGAATTATTATATGATATTAATGTCAAACAAGACATACAAAATTTCAAAAATGGTTGTTGTTGTTACACTTTCTTCTCTTGACTACTCAATCACTAATCCCCAAATCATAAATAACCTCATAGTTGGCTAAGTAAAACCCAGGTTTATTTGGGAAAAATTAATCCATAATTAAATCCAACTTGTTTAAGGCCCGCGCATAGCACGGGTTAATTTTGAAATTAGATTTGGACATAATATTTATCTTTTGGATTTTGTTTATTTAGTTATGAATTTCATTTTGACATTATTTAATGTTCCATTAATGATTAATATTTTATATTAATTGCATATTAATTTTATGTGAAAAAAACAATATTTATTACAGGATTTTTGATACAGTGGATAAAAGAATTTAATATTCTATTAATGATAATATTTTATTTTAATTGCATATTAATTTTATGTGAAAAAACAATATTTTATTGCAGGTATTTTTTGAATATGTGGATAAAAGAATTTAATATTTTATTAAGAATATTATTTTATTTAATTGTATTAATTTTATGTGAAAAAACAGTATTTTATTGCATGTATTTTTTGATACTGGATAAAAATTATATAGTATTTTTTTTTTTCATTACACATTAATATACTTAATCCAATTACTAAAATAATTATAGTGGAATATATTGTCAAATATATTTAATTCAAAATGTTAATATTAATATAGTGTTTTTGAATTGGACACTTTTGGATTAACTTTATCATCATCTCTACCTTGCCCTTTTGAATCTTTTTTTGTTTTCTCTTCGGTTTCTTCGACTACTGCTTTTTTTTTTTTTTTTTTTTTTTTTTAAGTTTCTACAGTATCTAAACAATATTTGTAAGAATGTAATAATATTTATTTCGTCCCTTTTTCTTTTTTTGTTTGCAAGTCTTTTTTTTTTTTTTTTTTTTTTTTTTAATTGTTGATTTGTTAGCTGTGGTTTATATTATATTGTGTAGCTTTGTTTGATAAATCAGATAATGACAATGAAGATTAAGTATGTGTTTGGGTTTTTATAGTTTTGCAAGATTGATTTTTGAAATTTGATTGTAGCATGGAGACTTGAAATAAGGGTTGAAGAAAGTGAGCTTTATTTGGTTTTTTTTATTGTTTGAGTCATTAAACTACTGTACTATTATACTGTGAAGCTTGTTTAATATGCATCAGATAATGAGAGTGATGATATATTGTGTTTGGCTTTATAGTTTTGCAAGATTGATTTATATTGGCTTTTGTTTTTTGTTCTGGTGTTGTTGATAGCTGTCAACCTCAAATCAAGTGTTGAAGAAAGGAAAGCGCCCTGTTAATGTTAATGTTAGACGCTCTGTTCGTCTTCAAGAAACAAATCTTGAAAAGAAAATGAAGTATTCAGCGTTTGATTGATTCTGTTGTTTATAGTGAAAGTGAAGAAGAAGATCAACGACCTGGATATTTGATTACGAAGAGTTCTCAGTCCAATAGGAAAAAGAAACTCTGGAATAGAAAATTGATTACTTGATTGAACTAATAGAAAGAAACAAAGCAAGCTTACTTCTCGTGATTATTCTTGTACCTGTCAATTCAAATACAAAAGTTTATATTTTAGTTCGCAGAAGAGGTATTATTAGCATAGTTGTAAAGTATTGTTTTTTATATTGATTTTAATTATTGTATTGATTTAATTGTTTTATTTATTTATTTTTGCGTTGTTTGTTAAACAGATTGAAATTTTAATTCAGGAGAACCAAGAAGTTTGCTTTAAAGCTAGAAAATTGCTTGGAAACTTGTTGTGGTATGTTTGTTATTGCTTTATATTTGTCTGGTTTATTGAATTGTTTTATTGGGATTCATGTTTTTAATTAGTGTTGTTTGGAAGGTGTTTTGAATATATGTTCTTTTGCATAACATATATGTTTATATTATAGAACTATTATTCTAATAAAAGTTTTATATTTTTTGATAAGTAACTTACAAATATTTGATTTTATTGTAGTGTGAGAAACATGTTGAATCATATTCTGGATCTATAAGAAATGGAAGGATATGTTTTGACTTCAAATGTTTCAAAATCGGCTGAAAAGCAGTAGATATACCTCGTCAATCAAAATCGGGGCAAAAGTGTGGTGCAAACCCAAAAATTCAACTATCGGCAAAGGAGTTAGATTATAAGTTATATGTAATTAGTTTTTGTGATACTGGTTGTTTTTATAAGGTGCAGTGTTGAATATGATCTTTACATTTGTATAATCGTGAATTTTTCTATTTATTGTAAAATATAATTTATCATGCTTAAAATTAATTATAGTGGGTTACTTGTCATCGTAATTATTTAGGTTATAAAATGATTAAGATTAAGCAAGTACATATTTTTATTTTTTAGGTTAATGTATTGATTATTATTTTTCTTGCTATTTTTTCGTATTAATACTTATTAACTTGTTGCAAAATTATTATTTGACATATTTAAACATATTATTGTTCGGGATATGGTTGTTAACAAAAAAGATAAAAACAAGATGATGTTGGAAAATCGAATATTGTAAGTTAATGAGAAAAAGTAATTGTTGCTATTGTACTTGGAATTCAATAATTGTTATTATTTATTATATTAATTATAAAAATGTGTACATTGGCATTCTTCATTTCTTACGTGATGATTTGCCAGTTCCATTTCGTTGTTGTAGCAATCTGTAACTCCATATCATCATACATATTCGAAATCCCACCAAAGATTGTTGAATGCGTTATATCCACCAACCTATCAATGAGATGTTTTGCTTTTTGTCTTTTGGTATTTATATTCCTTACATTGGTGCCAATGTAACGTCCATATGGAGATACGTAATTTAATTTATGCTCTTATATCTTTAGTTGATTTTTGCTAAAGTTATTTTGAGAAAATATGAAGAAAATGCCTTAAACTTGCATCAAGGATAAAATGGTCTTTTCACTCAAAATTAGTTGAAAAAGTGGGGAGTGAAAAGAGAGATAATTTCATGGAGAATGCAATAAAAATGAGGGCATTATGGTAATTGACTAAGGGACATAGATGGAATTTTAAAGAACGCGCAAGGGCAAAATGGGAAATTATATTTAAATTTATGTTATATCAAGGATTGAAAAGTAAAACCCTAGCCACTCTTCAACTCATTTTCACGCCAGTTCTCCTCCAAATCCTCTCAATTTCTTCACTTGTTTTTCAAAAGAAATTCATAGATTTTGGGTATTTTTGAGTGGATTTTTAATCCTAAGCAACTTTAGGTAAGATCCTTGCACTATGAAGTGATTTTTAATTTTTAAAGTGTTGAATTTTGATGGTTTGAGCTTATAGGATTTAAGAGGAAGAGAGTTTGATCAAAGAAGATTCTTAAAGGGGTTGGATTGCTCATATCAAAGGTAAGTAAATCCCACCCAAGTTATGATTTGAGAAATCAAGTGTGTAGAGATTTTACATACATGTATATGCTTATGATTTGAGAATTGTTGATGAAATTGACGAGTTATTGATGAGTTTGATGATTATTGATGAATAGAATTTAGCCATGAGAAGTGGTTTTGATTGTATGATGATTAATTGAAGTTTGGTTGAAGTTAGAAAGAGTTGAGTAGAATTTTTGGGAGTGTATTGTTTCAAACAAGTTTAGTAATTGTTTAAGGGAGTTTTACTCCAAATATTGGTAGCTTGAGAAAGAGATAGAATTGTAGTAAAATTAGAGTTTGATTTTGCATGCAATATGTTTGATGAAATGTCAAAGAGAAGTGTATGCATGAGTTTTATTCATTTATGAATTGACATGAGTTTGTAGATGGTAGAGAAACTTATTTTTATGCTACTTGGCATCCTTGCATTTAAACATTTGCATTTAGAAAGAATTATAAGCATGAAACCATCTACGTGCATACATCTTCATAAGAGCATGAAAAAGCACTAAAATATGTTAAAGAGAAAATAGAAAGAAATGGGAATATTAAAGATATTCAAATCTGAAATTTTAGTTAAAGAAGTGTAAAAAGATAAAAAGAAGAGAAGGTTGTTGCGATTGGGAGCCCGTGAGTGACAGAGTCCCACATGCACGCTGCCTTTAGTGAGCGGCCTCAGAATTTAGAAAGAAGAATTGTACAGTCTATTAGAAGTGCATGTGGATGAGGATTGTAACCAGAATTAGAGAATTCACTCACACGGCCAAGGCTCCAAAATCCATGCCTCAACCGAGTCCAATCGGCAAGAAAAGAAAGAAAGAAAAGAAAGAATAGAAGGAA